GCCCCCCCCCAGCCTGTGAGCACCGCCCTCTTTCCCAGGGCGGATCGGCTCCCCTCCTGCCAGGCAGGTTGCCGTCTGCAGCTTCACCCTGCTTCCTCGGGAGTCAGCAGGAGGGGAGCTGGCCCTCACAGTTCTGGGCCCTGCTCACAGATAGCAAATACTCACTTGATGGAGGCCACAGACATGTGTCGGAGCTGGCTCTTGAGATCCTGAAAGTTCAACCCTTCGGGTCTTGGGCAAGCCTTAATCAAACTCAGCACCTGCAGATTCAGATTAGAAAGATTTTAGCACCTACCATGAATCAACTCTCCTTCGCAAACCTCAGTCTCTTTAAAAAAAAAAAAATTACCATTTTTTAATTTGCTATAAGGCACAGGCAATCACTGGGGAGGGGGAGAGAAGGGGAGAAGGGGGAATGGGAGAGGGGGAGGGGGGGAAGGAGGGGAGGGAGACAGACAGCAGCTCTGGGGCTCCAACCACAGCTTTGTGGAATCCAGTGGCTTAACCACACCACCTGCCACTCGGGCCCCTTTGTCCTTTTGGAGAAGGAAACAGGCTGGGTGCTTAGCCTTGGGGCATGAAGCCGTGACTTGACTGTGGTCTGGGCCGGCTGTGGGCCGGTCTGGGCCAGCTATGGGCAGCCTTCTAGAGCCACATGGGGTCAGTCCATTACCTGGTTCTGGGCCACTGTGAGGCCGTTGGCTGGCAGGAAGCTGTCCCCGCCGAAGGCCCCTGCTTCTCCCATTCCTGGCTGGCTGGCTGCTGCTCTCCCTGCTGCGGGCTGCATCGAGAAGAAATTTGGGGAGGTGAGGAGAGCCGAGTCGGACAGAGCCCTGGGCGCTCCCCAAGGAATGGCTCATAGGAAGAGCCTGCTATGTCTGAGGAGCCTTACAGAAAGGCAGACTACAGGGAGAGGAAAGGGGACGTTCCCACCACCCTCTGTCCTTTCTTACCGTCAAATTTCTTAAAATAGCCTCTACTCACACTTCTCGTTTCCCTCCTCTGTGGCTCCAGAGCCCAATACGACCTGGCCTCTCCCCACATGCTGGGAAACTGCCAAAGTCGCAAGTGCCCTTTCTTGTTTTTCAATTTTAGAACTATTTATTTAATTCTGTTTATTCATTCATTCATTTTAATTTGACCAGTGAGAAACACAGAGCGAGAGAGAGGGAAAGTAAGAAAGCAAGCTGCCAGGTCCAGGGCTTGAACCGTGGTCAACCATGTGGGAGGTTCAGCACCTTAATCACAACGCCACCTGCTGGTCCCCGCCTTTTCTTTTTTCTTTTTCTTTTTTTTCCCAATTTATTTATTTGCATTCATTCACTGTAAATCATTACAGCATACAAAATGAGATTTTTAATACAGAGTACACTGTATATTATCTCAGTCAAGCACATCAACAAACATGTTATTCTTAGCAAATGATCTTCCATTTCTTGTTTTCTGTATGTTTTGCTTTTTCTCCCCCATCCTTGGTTCCCTATCTCTTACCCTCTGCCACCTCCTGTTCTCCTCCCACACTGTCTCTGTTATCTATGTTTGCTTTCTATACCATTTTCCCCCCACATTTTATTGAATCACCAAAGACCCTAATCAATCCGAATACCCTCCTAGCAAACACATGTGACACACACATTTCCATGAACACAAGTCTAACTTTACGCATCCTATAAAGTAGCACCTAACTGGGGCTACATATCCTACTGCAGTGATTGAATAGATATATTTTTTGTTTTCCTGAAACTTTTTTTTGTAACTCAATTTACATTCCTTCCCTAAGCATCA